TTTTGTGATTTTCTATAAGAATAAATATTAAAAAAAATATTATTATAAGATTGTATTTTGATTTTAAAATAAATAATTAATTATTTAATAGTATGAATATTTTGTACTGCTTCTCATTAACAAATTATTTTGATAGTATATTAAAGTGACTATTAACAAAGTTTTTGACATAATATTTAACTTTTATTATAAATGGAAGATAAATAATTAAAGATAAAATACATTAATTCAGCAAAATAAAAATGTGTTCCAGAATTAGACCAAAAACAAATTTCATTAAATTGTGATATAAAAGAATTAGAAAGAAGTTTTTTAATACAATCAGTCACAAATAATGAATTATGATTTAAAATTTTTGAAAAATAATCAAATATTGAGTTTGAATTATATTATTTTGATTTTTATAAAAAACAATAAATTCTAAAAGTGAAATTTGTATTTTTTTATAAAAATCTCTTTCAATTTCAATTGGTCCATCACCAATTTTAAAATTTTCTTTAAAGTTCATAACAACAACACAAGAAGTAGTTGTTATTAATTCAAGAAAACTTTTATAAAACTCATATTGTTGAGTTTTAAAATAAAGATGTTGTTTATAAAAATTAATTTCAGTTTGTAATTGAATAATAATAAAATTATTTTTTTTTTATTTGAATTAATTTGTTGTAATTTAACTTTTTCCTATTAATATAAATTGAATACATGTCAGTCTTTTTTTGTACTTTTTTAAAGTTTAGAGAACAAAGTTTATAAAATTTACTTAGACTTAATTTTAAGTTAGAATATTGAGTTTTTAATTCAAAATAAATCATTTTTTTTTTATTTTTCCAAATAATAAATTATAGAAGGATTATAATTAATGTGATATTTTTCAAAGAATATAAAAGTTTAATAAAAGAACATGTTGATGTTGATAAATGTGAATTTTGTAAAAGAAACTTAATAATAAATTCAAAAGTTTTTTTATTAATTTTTGATTTAAAAAGAGGAATATATCTTTGATAATCAGATAAATTAAATATTTGATTATTAATTTTTTTGAGAGTAGTATTAAATTGTTTATTACTAAAATTAAAACCTAAGTTTTTTAATTCTGTTTTGTTATATAAACCAGTAATTAATAATAAAATACTGGATTTATATTTTGTAGAAACAGAATTATGCATAGTTTTTATATTATTTAAAATTTGTTTTGTTTTTAATGTATTTTATGAATTAAAAAAAATGATTTTTCAATATAAGAAGAATAGAAAAAGTAATTATATAATTGTTCTGATTTATTGCCAACAATAAGACTTTTTTGTGAACTTTTTTAAAAAGGTTACTTAAAATTATGTATAAAAAAAGGTCTCTAAAAATAATATATCTAAAAAAGGTCACCAAAATTTTTTTATTAATATTTTTGTTATCTTCAAAAATAATGATATAACAAATTAAGAAAATAAGATATTTGAAAATAAAACTATTCTAATCATAACACTATATATAGTAAATATAAAAACAGTTTTTTGATAACTATCTTTTTTAAGTAAATTAAAAGAAATCAATGTCATATTGTAATTTATAATTAAATTTTTTAATTAAAAAAATGTTAAATAATTTTCAATACACAATTTATTAAATAAAAATGAATACAAGATATGTCAATTATTTTATTATTATGATTTTATATAAGATAAAAATAATTCTAAATAAAATTTAATACTGCATATACAGTATTTAAATTTTATAGTTTTTTAAAAACCGGTTACATGGCTTGTACATTAATTATTAATGATTAAATGTTTGATCAGATCAGATCGAATCAAACGTTATAATAATTGAGAAACTTCGAAGAAATGAGTCAAATAAATTTGATCAATAAATTAGGGGACATAGATAATAAAAATAATTTGAGTGTTTTAAACTCAGATAGACAACGTTCTCCAGAAATTTTACAGGAAGGTATCGTGAAGAAGCGAAGAATTAGTGACGGAAAATTGTTGTAACTAAAGCAATGATTAAACAAGACAAAGAAACGGAACCCAAATCGAAGTAGAAACAGTTAAGTAAAAAGGATACTATTGAGGAACAATTAGAGGATGTGGGGATTTACTGTGAGAAAGTTAGAATTCGAAGTCCGATCTCTTTTAGATTAGTAAATTCCTAACATATTCATATGATTTTTCTTCATGAAGGTTTGCGTAAAGTAAAACCATACTATTACGACCTTCTTCATGAAGGTTTGCGTAAAGTAAAACCATACTATTACGACCATAGCGAGTTTCGTGATAAAAGAAAAGAATATTATGTGAATTCTTTTTTTTTCCAGCAGGTATTATAATTTTTTTATTTCTCGCCTTTAAATTGTTCTTGCCTATATGCAGGCATACGCAATCTCATAACCGACACGAACCACCTACCACCGCGATGAGATCAGAGTTTTATATCGAGAAACAGACTATGTCGTAGTTTGTAAGCTGCAAGTATTTCCGTAAATTTCTTTTCTTCATTGTTAAGATATCGTCATACACATATTGCAAAAGGATGTTTATAGCAAATAATGAAAATCCGATGATACGGAAATGATTGATTCGAACCCTACGGACGGATCAAATAACTTGATTCTAACCTATTGAATGGATGAATTTGAGAAGAATGCATATGTTAATTGCTATTCGCCCGTCACCTTCGCCTAGCAATATTAACGAATAATTAAAATTTTACGAATAAATAGTAAAAAAATTATATCGCAGCATGTGTACTGGATTTGGCAATCGATGTTATTTATATTTCCACACGCTCCTATTTGGGGTGTCAAGCAAGGGCGTATAAAGAACCTAAATTGCTTCCCACTATCCTGCGCTGCAACAATCTCAACTCTCATATGTAGCTGTTTTTATTCGTATGTTTTTAAATATGGTATTCAAGTATGCGTTGCGTGATAGCAACTACTTTAGAATGTTTTCGTGAGTCACTCTTAGCATTCTTACCACACTTGTGTGTCACCTGTGCCGGCGAATTTGCATCGGTCTCAAGTAAAGTTATTGTAGTGAAAATATTTAAAGTTTTCTATACGTTTTGCTTTCTATTTAGAGAATATGGTCTATCAATAAATAAAAGAGATTTTAATGTAGTTTAATTGTACAATCTCAAGAGAGAAAGAGAATGGATGTTCTTGCTTGCATTGGCAAAAAAAAAAGTATGATCAAAGTGTATTTCACACACATATTTTTGCATTACCTTTCTATTATGATCATGAAGTTTTCTCAATCATTTTTCCTTTAGATTGCGATCAATTGTGAGATGTGACACGTTATAACGAAACAGTAAAAAAAATTATCGTTTCAAACTTATCATGTTTATATATAATTATTGTAAATTGTAGTAAGATACTACATTTCCATTTCCTTTGCTCCCCAAACCATCCCTTCCTTCTAGCATTTCTTTCAATTATTTAACCTTGACTGCAATCCTGTACTTCAACTGATTCATGCTCTAATGCTTGTTTTTATCTTCATTGCGTATCTTCAACGTGATATTCAATGAGCAACGATCAATAAGGAAAATCTGTACTCAGTTCCAGTTTCTAATCTTTTTATTTAAAGAATATGATAGATAAGGGATTTCAAATGTTGTTTAATTGTATAATATTGTTGCGTGCGAGGTTTGTGGTGGGTGAAGAAAGTGAATTCAAAATTTTCTTATTGCTTCCTAGATACGTATACTATTTTGAATGAATGGTCTTAATAAATTAAATCGAATATATTCACAGTTTCAATATCCTTATAGATATGAGTTCAGTGGATTTTTAAATCAAAAAAATAATCTTCAAGAGTGTTATTCAATGATTTACGACCAGCGTTAATATTAGTAGATACTGTACTTTTCAAAGTTTCAAAGTGCGATGACACTAAATTTGCGACTGTAATTTTTAGATATCTTCATTCATAGCATTTTAATTGTCATTAAAAAGAATTACTAATTATAATCTTCTTATTATTTACGTCATTTTGAAATTTATTGTATTCCGGAAGAATTTTATAATTTATATCATTTATTACTAAATATTTTAAATAGATGTGTATGGTTTTGATATAAAATATATTGTAATTCTTAATTCACGAATACTTTTATTATAGAAAATATAAAATGGTTGATAAATAAAAAAACTCAACAAGTTATCTGGGTGATTTCCTTTTTTAACTTTACTATTGTAACGGTCGATCGGCGAGTCTGTCGCTAAAGTGGGGCAGAGTGTCGCGTAACCGTTGATGGGGTAAGGAATTTAATAATGAGATTTTAGGCGTATACGATTTGGCTGAGTAAAAGATAATTCGCTGTCCTTTATTTTATTTTACTTACATCTTTTTATACATTTTAGTTAGGACGACTTTACATTCTAAAAATATGGCAACATCGATTATCTAATGTCTTCTCTTATTACATAATGCTCGATCACAATGATTTATCGTTTTTCACGATCCTCCTCTCATTACCTAACTTCCTAACACGCTTCTCTATTACTATTTTCTCCACCTCCCATTACTTTTCGCCTACATACTTTTTATCACGCTACCTCAAGTACCATGATATGACTGGAGTCGCATCACAATTTTACCCTATGACACTATTATAATTTTTTTTATTGTAAGAATAATATTCGCACCGTAAAAAACAAACTCATTATTATTTCTAAATGTATAGAGAACTAGAAGCAGGACCCGAGAAGAACAGGATTTTCTTAATGCAAACCGTCGAATTTCTAAATTACTGTAATACAGATTACGTGAAATAATTGTCAATTAGAACAGTAAAGCTTCTACTGTATGTACAAACAATTTTGCACTAACAAGACAAGAAATTATTGTACAATTCGCCCAATTTATTTTTATTTAACACATTGTCATTGTCATCATTCGATATTAGCCTACTGTGTTTATTGCTCTGAAGATAGAGAAAACGTCACAAGATAAACACAATGATTGAAGATAAACAGTGATCTGCAGAAGAAATAAAAATCAGTCGAGTATATCACGCCTCTTATCGACTAAGCCGGGAGTAAATATTAAGATCGATATTAATGACAAATATGATGTTAAAAGTAAAAGTGTTGAGACCGCAACCGCATAATGCGATCCTACATCTATAAATGGTAGCGCGACGGTATTAACATTTTTGGTCACGGGAACAGACACCCTAATTATTAAAATAACGCTTAAATAACGAAAGGTAAAGACTTACAGTACATAAAAACATAAATTAACTTCGGGTTCAAAAAAGTTTGTACACACGTATATATTAATTAAGGATTATAAAATTTGGATATTCCAAATCATGAGGGCGCCGACTACAACATTTTTCATCCTCCCCTTTGAACACTGTTCCAGTAATTATTGTGTCCTTATTAAGTTGATAATGTATCTGTTTGGCGCTTGGGCGTCGATTTGGGTCCTTGATCCAACATTGCTGGTATATCTCTATATACCCACACGGAGTGTCCAAAGTCGGCTTCTCCCTTTGACCTTGTATTACAGTCATTACAATACCACAACTATCCAAGCCTTTGAATGGCACTGTTCCGCTTGAGATTTCCCACAAAACCATCCCCAAGCTGTAAACGTCCGACTTTGCGGTAAATTCAGTATAAGATTCCTTATTCAAGATCATTGGATCTATAAATGCTGGTACACCTTTAACCTTTGAAGTCTCTAAACTTTCACATAGTAAATTTAGGGACATTCCGAAGTCAATTATCTTCGCTCTCAGTTTTCCGTCAGATGTCGATAAAACGATATTTCGAGAGTTCTGATTGTATATTTATATATGCAGTATTAAAAAAAAAATTTAAATTATTTTAATATTTAATATAACGGGAAAGTGTGATCTTACCAGATCTCTGTGTAGAATGCTATTTGCATGTAAGTGGCTTAACCCGTGGGCGATTCCTTTCGCAATGTCAATTCTTTCCTCCCACGTGATTTTAGGATTTTTCGTCAGATACTCACGTAGACTTCCTAACTCCCCATATTCTAAAATAAATGTATAGGATCCATCTAGTCCTTAAAAATGAATGATATTAATTTAATGATAATTTTATAACGTAAAAATTACAGCATATGTATAATATTTAAATCTACCATGACGTGACTCATAAAACTTGATAATGTTTTCATGTGTTTTTATCTCGGAATAAGTTTTAAGCTATAATTTATACATCAGTTAATTTACTATTATAAATAAGAAGGGCATTCGAAACAACATATACCTCTCTGTCAGCTTCATTCGATTTTTTATTTACAATTTTCATGGCAACAGGCGTTTCGTTGCCATTAATGACCAGCATTTTTTTCAGAACCCTTGATGAACCGCCATAGGCGACGAGGTCCAACTCTGTAATCTGGTTCTGGCTATCCATACGCGGCATCAATCCTTCAACGCCCTGAAGTTGGGTGTAAGAAATCAATTTATCATCGAAGAACTTTATTAAATTTAACAAATCAAGGATTTGAAAATATAACAATACCTTTATTATGTTATATATCTAAATGGGGTTTTTACGTGTAGTTTGAATATTTATCTATTAATTCTATTAAAAGAGACTGCGGGTGTGCTCGCAATAATTTTAACTACAATTTTTGATAATTTTTTTTTAAAAAAAACACTTCGACTTGCTTATATTGATAAATTTGTGGGACGCGGTAGATGTACGACAAATTGAATCTTATCTAATATTTATCTAAATTGAGCAGAGATTTTTTAACCCAAATAAGTGACAGAGTGGTTGCTCTCCGTATGGCATTTTTACATGCTTGTGCAGCATACATGCAGCAGCAATTGCATTGTTTTGAGTGAAATTTCCGTACTGTAATAATTATATATTTTCGGATTATTTTACTGGCATATAAAAAATTCGGAAATCGTAA